ATTGCTTTATTAATCCATAAACACCTGCTAAGGAGAGAAAATTCTGTAAACAGAAAGACTCTTGTGCCCTCCCTCTGTGAACACACACACACACACACACACACACACACTCCCTCAGCATTTGTGTGTGAGGGAGATATCCCCAAGGGTTCGGCAGTGATGAAGGAGATGATTACTTTGCAGAAATACAAATGGCCTCACAGATAGCATTTGATCTTCTCGTCCCAAGATAGACAAGAGCCCATCAAGGGATTTAGCAGGGCACACTTTGGGGGAGAATTGGTATATGAATACCCCAGCTTCCTTGCTTCCTTTGGGGGTGACATCTCTTAGGTGTGTGTTCTGCATTGGCTCCCAGTGTTTCCCTAGACGATTAGTATCTAGTCACCCATGGTGGTGACTGGCTCAAGAGATAGTACACCATTACTGCCCGCTTCGATTTTGTCTGGCTCTCCCTGGCCCTTCCCCACCGTCACTGATCCAGGTTTCCTTCCCTAGAAACAGAGTTTGAAAAAGGGTCTTATTCAAGTGACTTAGTGGGAAGGGGAAAGAGGCCTGTAAGATAGGGCAGGGGAAGGGGCGGAGCAAAACTGTGGTCTTGCCTGGACACTGACTTCAGCCTGACCCCAAGGGGAACTCTGGAGTACAAACAGTACCACAGAGTTAGTCCCCCTTGGAGTCAAGGGAACTGGCCTTTAAACCCCTATTTCAATTAGGCATTTCCTGAGGATTTTCCTAAGGGTGGAAGAGGGCAGGTAGATCCTCCTAAATGAAGCAGTGCCCATTTGGCCAAAGGCAATGTTTCAGAAAAGGGCTCAGCTGAGCTGTTGGCGGCCAGCATTCACAGCTGGAGATGGGTGCACCAGTCAGTAAAGGGGAGCACCCAGTGTACCTCCATATGGGCTCTTATTTTCATCTTTGTCTTGGGATATGATTCTCGGGTACAGAATAAGATAAATTTATCTAGATCTCTGGGACAAGGGAGACCTCAAATCCCTTGATGGCAGAGTCAAGTTCCCAATGTCCATTTGGTACTGGAGGTCATTCTGGATAATTGACGGAGTTATTCAAACAGTAGGTCCTTCTCTCTCCATCATTCTTTCCATGTGAAATGGTACATCTCCTCCTGGAGTGACCCAACCTCTCTTTTTCATTCTTCTCATTCTTACTGCCATTCAGTCATGGACGTGGGGCTCTCTGCCTCCCCAAACCCCTCTTTCCTGCATCAGGTCTATGTAGGGAGCACTAATGACTGAAATGGCATAAATGGCCAGCTGCTTCTTCAGCAAGCACTTCCCCACACATTAGTCTGTGGGCAGAGATATCTGTGGCATTGTAGGACTGGGTCTCTGACTCACCTCCCTACAAGTAGCTTTGCCCTCTGAGATGCCCTGCACCCCGCTTTGTGGGGACTTGATACCCGCCTAATCCTTGCTAATAACTGGCCCAACAGAGCCAGATTCTGTTTCCTAGAGTTCTAGTCAGCAGCTGGTTGGAGTTGAAATATAATGCAGGCTATGTATTTTCTAGTAAACAAACTAAAAAGGTAAAGAAAACAGGTGAAATACATTTTAATAGTTTAATATATTGTGTGATATTATAAATTTAACATGAAATCAATATAAAAACTATCAATGAAATATTTTACATTTTTTTCATACTAAATGCTTGAAAGCTGGTATAAATTTCAGTATATTTTATACTGAAAGTGCATTTCAGTTTGGACTAGCCCCATATCAAGTGGTCAATGACCACATGTGACTAATGAGAACCATATTGGGAAGCTCAATTCTAGAGTCTTTGGTAGTCAGTCTGGCTTTATTGACATAGCTTGACCATGGGGTCTAGGCTGAACTAGAAGACAAGAGAAGCCAAGAGTTACCTAGTGCCCTTGGATGATGTAGAGCAGATGGATTGAAGCTGAAGCTATAGGGTGGTGGTGAGGAGGGGTTGAGGAGGAGGGTGCTGCTAGCCTGGGAGGTCCTGGTCCAAGAGGGGAATTACCAGAGGTGGAAATCATGGAAGTGGGGCAGTGTCTGATGCTGTGGCTGTCAAGATGGTGTGGAGATAGGGACCAGTTACCTCAAGTGATGAAGGAGCTTTCAGGCTAGTGTTTTTAAGGCCTGTGAAACCATCCATGATACTGATAGGAAGAGGAACAGACAGACAAGCCATGGCACCTATGATGATGCTATTTGGGGAATCAGGACTGTGTTAAGATGAGGTGAGATCAGAGCCAAACTTGCCAGTCTGTGGCTTGTCTATTAATCACTAGAAAACCCAACCATCCTCAGTTCTATTTTTTCTAAGATTTCAAAGGCAAAAAGGGACAAGCACAGGGATCCTTGGGTGGCACAGCGGTTTGGCGCCTGCCTTTGGCCCAGGGCGCGATCCTGGAGACCCGGGATCGAATCCCACGTCAGGCTCCCAGTGCATGGAGCCTGCTTCTCCCTCTGCCTGTGTCTCTGCCTCTCTCTCTCCTCTCTCTCTCTCTCTCTGTGACTATCATAAATAAATAAATAAATAAAATTTAAAAAAAGGGACAAGCACAAATTTAAGTAGCATGCTTCCTATTGCATTATCAAGTCCATGGTGTTGCTGTTAAAAAAGGCAAGGTTTTGTATTGACCTCCTCAAAAAGCACTTGTGGATTATACCATTAATAAGTCCCCTTTGGTTCTCCCTCCAATTAGTTGTGTGATCATCTAACAGTATTTTGATCTGGACTGTATTTCTTGTTATAATGATTAGCATTTCATACCTTGGGCTCTCTGTGAAGAGCAAGATAAATTGCCTTCATTTCTTCTCCTTGATCAACCACACATAGCACTTCATAAAGAAAATGATCAGATTGTGCACTCTCAAGTGCCTGCTAACTGACTTTTGAGCAGAATATACACTCACTTCATTTTTCAGATGGGTAAACCGAGGCTTTGGGCAATTACTGGACTCATCCAATTGACTTGCTTTTTTTAAAAAAAATGATAAAACCAAAAAAGTTTCCTTCATAGAAATACATGGAAACAGTAGTATGGGGGTTTCTACGTCTCACTTTTGGCAAAATTCAATCCTTCAAGTTTGAGGTAGCTGGCCAAGCCTCTTATTGGTTTAAGAACATTTCTAAGGTTAATATTTTAAAACAATAGTTCCTCAGGTAGGCCTTTCGAAGTGGCAAATTCTTTTTGGAAGCAACTGAAAACACACAAAGTATGCACACACACAATCAGATAAAGACAGACACACACACACACGTATGAACACACACTCCTATGGGAAACCTAATACTGTTTTCTCTTGTTTCTTCTGTAACTTGCCTTTTCACGGAACCCTGGGTCTTGAAGACCTCCTCGCATTAAGTTGCACATCACTCTTTTTATACTTGCATAATACTTAGTAGTATGACTGGATCAGAGCTTAGTCTTTTCCTTAATTAATGGCATCTAGGTTATTCTCAATTTTGTGCTATTTTAAGATTTGCTGCACTGAACATCTCTGCGCACGGCCTCCATGGTTTTTCCTCCAGGTTAGTGCTGATCAGCAAAACAGCAATTCGTAGAGATGCCCAATTTAGGTGTTCTTAGATACTGCCAAAATACCCCACAGAATAAAACTGTGATTTACACTTTTACTGTCCATCTGCCCACAGCCTTGCCTGGATTTAATATTAACAAACATTTGTTTTTACCAGCCTGTTGGGTGAAAAATTATACCTACCTCATTTTGAGGAGCTAGTTTTACTATGGTAAATATATACAAAATAATGACTAGAACTACATATATATGTATCTATGCATGTATAGACATACAATTTAAATATTAATAACTACTACTCAGTTGAATATTGATGTTGCCTTAGGAGCATCTTCCCAATAGTGCCATAGTAATTCATTCATTTTTGCTCCTGGATAAGAATATACCCAACTTTATTTATTCTTTTGTGTCGCAATCATGGACATTTGAGTTTTTTCCTGGGTTTTTCTTGCCTATTAGGAATTGTGCATCAATGAATTTCCTTGTGTATACTCTTGGTGCACACAGGCATAGTGCTGCTAAGGTGTACCCTGCTGTGAAATTGCTGAGTCGTAGGGTGTAGTGGAGATGGCCAGTTGTGCACTCAAATCCTTTCTCTCCATCTGCCCACATGGGGTCCAACCAGACCTCTCTCCCAGCCACATTTTGGTTGGATGTGGCCACATGACTGAGTTCTCACCAATGGAATCTCAGGAGTTCCCACTCTGCTACTTTGGGATCAGGACTTTAAAGCAATGAGTGTACTTCCTCCATGCTCTCTTCTCTCTTCGTATGGCCCCACACCCAAACGTGGTGGTGGCTCAACTTCAACTTTGCAGAAAACAACAGAGTCCTACATATTGGTAGAGCAACGACTTAGAAAGAACCAGTTACCTGTATGACCATGAGGATCAAAGTTGTCCCACTGATCAGGACAGTAAACTTTGGGTTTGATATATGAGAGATTAATACATTCTTTACCTTTAAGTTGTTTTATCATTAGTATCTGCATTATGGTAGCCTGTACTTACTCTAATACATAAGAAAGCACATGTTAAACTTCACGGAATAATGCCATACTCCCATTCAGAATGTTTGAACCGATCGATACTCTCACTAGCAATGTATGAAAGCTCCCATTGCTCTATCTCCTACCAACTCTAGCTGTTGTCTGAAATGTCTATTCAGATCTTTTTCTCTTTTGAATATCGGAGGCTTTTAAAAATTATGGTTAAATATATATAACATAAAATTTGTATTATAACCATTTGAACTGTACAGTTCAGTAACATTAAGTATGTTCACAATATTATGCAACCATTACCACTATCTATTTCCAAAACCCATTCATCACTCCAAACAGAGACTCTACCCATTGAGCAACGGGTAGTTCCCCATACCTCCTTCCTGGTAACCTCTAATCTACCTGCCTACCTGAAATATCTCATGTAAGTGGAATCATACAATATTTGTCCTTTTTGTCTGGTTTAAAAAAATAAAGAACACTTCATGAATTTGTGTGTCACCTTTGTGCAGATGCCATGCCAATCCCTATCTACATTATTTCAGGTTTATGATATGTGCTGCCTAAGGAAGCACTTGAGCACTTTTAAAAATGTTTATTTCTTACGGTTTGTAGAAGTTCTTTATACAATCTGGATGTTAATACTTTTTAAATTAAATGGGTGGCAAATATTTTCCCACTGGTGTGGCTTCACTATGTTTATGGTATCTTTTAGTACCAAAGTTTTGCATTTTATAAAGTCAAATGTGTCTGTATTTTCCTTTGTAATTTGTGCTTTTTGTGTCCTGTTTATGAAATTCTCCTCCACCCACCCCATGTCATTAAAATATTATCCTGTATTTTCTTCAAGAATATTTTGAAACTTTTGCATTTCATATTTGTTTTTGATCTGCTGGAATTGAATGTGTTTGGTGTGAGAGGAGCCTAATTTTATTTTTTTCAAATTGTCTCAGCAACATTTATTTAATAGTTGGTTCTTTCCAGTATTTTGTTAACATTCTCTTCTTGACATGGATTTTCCATATACACATTGGTCCTAAATCCCTACATTGGTTCCATATTGTTTTAATTATGCCTTCCATTTTGTTTGTCTTCAAAATAGTCTTGGTTGTTCTTGCCTTTTGTCTTTGAATTTTGGATCAAATTGTCGAATTCTTCAAAAATACTGTGGGTACTTCTCTTGTATTTGTATTAAGTTTATATTTAAAGTTGTAGAGAATTACCATCAGTTTTCTTACCCACGAACATAATGTATCTCCCTCGTTACCTACATGGACTTTAAGATTTTATTTATTTATTTGAGAGAGAGGAAGAGAGAGAGAGAGAGAGAGAGAGAGAGAGAGAGAGAGCATGAACAGGGGGAGGGGCACAGGGAGAAGAGAATCTTGAGCAGACTCTGTGCTGAGCATGGAGCCTGATGCTGGGCTCCATCTCAGGACCCTGAGATCATGACCTGAGCCAAAATCATGACTTGAATACTCAACCAACTAAGCCACCCAAGCGTCCCTAATAAAGTATTATAATTTTTCCATACAAGACTTTTAAAGCTTTATTTAATTTGTTCCAAGATACTAGAATTTTTGTTCTAATTAAAAATTATTACATATAACATATCATTTTCTGTAGATATTTAGGGAAGCAACCAGCAAACTTGCTCATCTCTTATGCTTGGTCTACTGGTCTGTCTGTATAGTCTTTTGGGTTTTCTAGATAAATAATCTTACTGTTTGTGATAATCTTCCTGTTGGTTCTCTTTCTTCCTTATGGCTTTCATTTCTTTTTCATGTCTTAGGATGCTTGCTAGGACCTGCAAGAAAATGCTGAATAGCAATAAGGAGAACAGGCATCCTTTCTTTTTCCTTAACTGTAAAAGGAATACTTCATTTTTTTTTTCTGAAAGAGTTTTATTTATTTATTAGACAGAAAGAGAGCACAAGCAGGGGGGAGCAGCAGAAGGAGAAGTAGAAGCAGGCTTTCCACTGAGCAGGGAGACCAATGTAGGGCTCGATCTCAGTACCCCGGGATCATGACCTGAGCTGAAGGCAGATGATTAACTGACTAAGCCTACCAGGCCACCCCCCCCCCGCCCCCCCTTCCCTGTTCCAACTTTCTGCCTTGCATTCATTCAAAGCCTTGTTTCCAACTGATATACATTAAAATTCAAGCTATTAGATTTCCCAGAACAGGGACTAATCCCCACCCACACTGCAGTGTAAGCTCCCACATTTACTATTTGGGATTTTAGTACTTCTTTGTTTCTAGGCCCTTTGGGAATACTTCTTCTGAGCTCTGCAATATATTGAGAAGAAACTATTTTACATATTATTGAGTTTTTCTAGCTGTGTTTAGCAAGAAGTTTTGCGGGTTAACTTATTACCATGATTGAGAATTATTCTTTTACTATTTATTTTTCCCTTTTTTTCGGTATTATTATTATTATTTGCCAACCTGAGTCTTTTTAACCAAGTCAGTTCATTTATACTTGTTATTGGAAGTGATTATGTTCCTGTATATTCTTACTGTTTAAACTTCCTTATGTTTATTAAATATTATTTCAATTCTTTTTTAAAAAAAATCTAGGGGTATATTTTGGTTTTGTCTTTTTCAGGATTTTCAAAGGCATATATATTTCTTTAAAGTATATTTATGAAAATTTTTAACTATTTAAATTGTTTTCAAACCACCTTCAATTATTTTAAAGCAATTTCAATATTTGTAAGATTCGAGCATTAAAAAAAAACCCTACCCTGAATCCCACCCACGTGAACAGGGAATTTCACATAGCTCTGCTACCCTTCCTTAAATGCTTCTTCTCTTAAAAAAAAATGCTTCTTCTCTTTGTTCTTAATTAATATAATTCAAGTTATCAAATTTAGGATTTTGTCATCAGAATTTTAACAACATGTATATTCTTTATTGAGACTATTTTTGACATTTCAATTCAATTTATTAGTAGTTTGCAAACATTTAGACTTCTATCTTAATTGATTTTATTGCTTGTCACCAAATTTCATCTCTTTGTCATTTGAATATATTTTCAAGTAAATTTTTTTTCTGAAGAGTTGCAAGTTTTCTGGGACCTGAAAATATTTATTGCTTTCAGTATGCTGGAAATATATTTTCTGTGTCACAAATTTTCTTTTATAAAACTCTATAGCTCTGGTTACATTTTCTTTTGGACCTTAGTGTTATGAAGTTAACAATCTTTATTCTACTGTAGGTAATCTGTTTGTCCATGTGTGTCCTTAGATGATGTCAGATTTCTTTAAAACATCCATACGGTTCAAAAATGTTGCCTAGATGTAACTATCAGGTTTTTGTTCAATTAGGAGGAGGTTTATTCCTTCATAGCTCTGTCACTACTTTCATGGCATTTGTACTGGTATCTCCTTTAATAATGCACTTAGGGACTCTTTCAAGTCCCCAGGCCTTTGCAAGTATGGCCACAATTTTGCATGTGTTAGTTCTCTGTTTTCTGTCTTCCATGTGTTTTGTGTTCTCTCTAGATGTCTTCCCTTTTTCTGTCCATTTTGTATTCATTCTTGGAGAGATTTTCCAATCTGTCTTCTACATCATTCATTTTTTTGCTCAACAGCAACATATCTGCTCTTTCCTACTATACCAATGCGAAGTTAGATCCCTACACAGCATTTCCGTTTCTTGAAAACTCTCTTTCCCTCCCCTTCTATCATTCTGTTCTCTTTTAAGATTTTATTCATTCATTCATTCATTCATTCATTCATTCATGAGAGACAGAGAGAGAGAAAAAAGCAGAGACATAGGCAGAGGGAGAAGCAGGCTTCCAGAGGGGAGCCCGATGAGGGACTCGATTCCAGGACTCTGGGATCACAACCTGAGCTAAAGGCAGACAGTCATCCACTGAGCCACCAAGGTGCCCAGGTGCCCCTCTGTTGTCTTTTCTGCTTAACCTGGTTTCTTGTAAGCTTGTTCCTTTTACATGTCATTGTCTTCAGGCATGCTAAGAAGCATCCTGAAAATGTCTCCTGCCTGTGCAGAGCACCAACTTCAAAGGGATGCTTCCCTCTGGGTCCTGGAGGTGCTGTTCCTGCTCTTTATTCTGAAGTATTCCAACAGACCATGAGTGTCTTGATTCCTCTTTACTTTTCCTTGAGAAGTAAGAGATTCATTAGTTCTTGCTGTTTTTTGCTAGGCAAGAAGAGTGGATTGGCTTTGGGCCCTCCATCTTTCTCTTGCTTGATGGTTGAATCATCTGTTTAGACCTACACTGGAGGGCCAGCCAATGTTCAATTGCCAATTGCCAACAGACTTCATCTAGTATATATCTGCTCTACTGAGATGGCATCTTTCCCTAACCACCAGCCTGATTCTCTGGTGCTCTGATCTAATGTGTCATAGGAAAAACAATGCTCAGAAAGCTGCACAACTTCCATAGCCTGCTCCAGCCTCTTGGCCATTCTTCATATCCTGAATACATTGTGCTTTCACCAGCCCATCTGTCTGGCCAGTTGTCTTACTCATTTTTGGGCTCTTCTTGGGTATAAGAAGACCTTGGGGAAGGGAGGAAGATGACCTGGGAAAACTTCTTCATTCGGTGTGAAGCAGAAGCAACAAAGCAAAGAATATTTACTCCATTCGCTGGTTAGTACAGATCTTGGGTATCTGAGTCAGGTATTGAGAGAGAGGGAATGACAACATATCTTCCTATTTCTTCAAAGCAGGTTCTCCTTATAGAGAAGTTGGCATATGTCATCCATGCTCTTGATAGGTTGTTCTCCATCCAGTTTCATCTGCCTTATAAGTATTGTCAGTTCCTTCCACATCCTGGCAATTAGGTTGTCTGTCAGAGTTCATTCACTTCGTTAGTGTGAGTCTTCATATTTGTCTGTATTTGCTGGGATATGTTCCTGAGAAGCAAGGAAAGGCTTGCTGGAAGCTGCTTGCCAGAGGCCATTTTGTACAGGAAGTACCACAATCATTTCAATGTCTCTCTTCCCAGCGAGCCCATGAGATCCTTAAAGGGAGGGGCTGGGCCACACATATCACGAGTCCTCAGCACCTTGAAGGCTACTGACCCAGAACTGCTACCCAATACATGTTTAAAGAACAAAAGCCCAGGTGGCTTAGTGGTTTAGCGCCACCTTCAGCCCAAGGCCTGATCCTGGAGACCTGGGATAGAGTCCCATGTCGGGCTTCCTGCATGGAGCCTGCTTCTCTCTCTGCCTGTGTCTCTCTCTCTTTGTGTGTCTCTCATGAATAAATAAATTAAAAAAATTAAAAAAGAAAGAACAAAGGAGAGGAAGCTTTTTGTTATTTGTCTTATCTCCCCTTGTTAAAATGTTTCAAATGACTCGTAAATGGTTCACCTGCTTCTCTAAAAAGAACTGAAGAAAATGTATCTTGCAGCCCAAGAATCAAAGTAAAGGTAGCTTGGGTCACGGAGGGTATAACTAAAGCTTATATTTATGGAGTTAAGTATATTTAAAAAGAAAAAGATGGGATAAAGGAGCAACTTAATGTCTTTTCATGTACAAGATAGCCATATGATCATCCTCAGGATGGCTACTATTTGCCTACACTCTCCACAACTAGGGAG